CAAACATGATAATCATGAGATGCTTGTCATGTGAGAACATGACTACATGCCACAGTTAAGGCACGAACACATTTCGACGTGACGCGGTGCGCGTGCTTGCCGGTGTTCATTTTGCCGCGTCACGCCTGCGTTGCAACCCCAGGCGCCGGTCCTCCGTATAATCGCAGGCGCACGCCGCGCTGCGTTGCTTTGTGCAGACGCGTTTCCGCGCGTCCGGCGTCCCTACGTCACGAAAAGAGGAAGACTCAGGCCGCGTTCACACTTAGCATTCCGGCCGCCGAAAGTGCTCCGAATCCGGTTCGGCGGCGGCGAGATCCGCCGAAAGGGCCTTCTCCGCGCCGATCACTCTCGGACCGACTTTTGCGGCGTCTGCCGCCGAATCGGTCACCATGGTCCAATAGGAGCGCTAGTCAAGGAATTTCGAAAAATGGCGGCCAAACCCTACTCACTTGTTATGCCGCAGTGCACGTACCTGAATGTTGAAACCAACAGGAGTTTAACCTACTCTGTGGCGTATTTCGTGAAAGAGGTGACCGAGCTTGCTGTTGGCGTGACCGAGCTTGTTGCGGTCTTGCAGAGCAAAACAAACCCACCAAATCCGCCGGCGTCGGTGATTTTTTCTGCTTTTCATGCATTACAAGACAGCCACTTGCCAGCAAAGTAAGCAGTACTGTCTTTTCTTGCTTCTTGCGTACGAGAATCGCCGAAGTATACACCACCGGATAGCGTAGCAGCGTTTGCGAGCCGCGACAACAACCGGGTGACAGCGCATCCATCCCGCGTTACCCCCTTGTAGATGGCATATTCGGCGGCGCGGGGCGCGTCCAGTGCGAACGACGCTGCGTTTCGGCGGCAGGGGAATTTCGGTCGCTGCAGAAGGCGGATGTTTCAGTGTGAACTAGGCATCAGTGTTTTCTGGGTAGCATCGGCGTGAAATGCCGAAACGCAGCATGTCACATTTCGCGCCGGTTACCGTCGGGCCGCGCCGACGGACGCTGGTCGCGCCTGGCGTCAGACTATAGAGTGCTCGCGTTTTGCTAACATAGCGTCGCTGTGCCCAGCGTGCGCGCACGTCAACACTACATTGGAGTATAATGGGCCCTTCATGATGCACTCGTGGCCGTTTTGCTAGCTCCGATATACCAAATTTGGTGTTACGTGACGCCAATGAATGACGAAATATGTGAATGATGCAAACATGATAATCCTGACACGTGTGTCATGTGAGAACATGACTACACACGACACTCATAGCATGCTGGAGGTCGTTTCTCTAGCTCCACATATACTAAATTTGGTATCACGTGACGTGAATATATGACGATTGTAAACGACATATCCAAACATGATAATCATGGCACGGAAGTCATGTACCGCATCATTTAGATCCACCTCATAACGTTGTGCTGATTTTAAAGTGACATTTCAACATTCCTCATTCGTGCGTCACATATCATGTATTCCCACTGTACGTGGGATCTGCCAATTTTTTTCTTGCTCTGTCGCCAACGCAATCTCCAGCTCGGCGATTCATGAGGAGTTCACTCTGGGCAACCATCATTTTCTCCATTTTTACTGGACCTCACATTGCCTAAACTTGGCGTCAGCCTCCTCTGCATTTGCCTCTGCACTTGCGTTCATTTTAACCCTGCCCCCTCCCCCTTATTCTAAACATTTTACATCCTTTCTAACCATGTATTTTTGGCACGTATTGTCCTTGTGAATGGTCCCACTGGATAATTACAAAACATGTTATGCGACAAACCCTGCCCTAAGAAAAAAAATGGCAGCATATCCACGGAGTGAATGATGGAGAGTGGGGCGAAGCAATCGTCCGTCCATGCGTCTGTCTGTGTGACCGTCCATGCGTCTGTTCGTGCGCCCGTCCCAGCGTTCGTTCGTGCATCCGCCCCTGCGTCCTTTCATGCGTCCATCCATGCATTTGTCTGTGTGTCCGTTCGTCCATCTATTCAACACTCCAAGTCCCATCATCTCGCATCTTTTTATCATATATTCCCCATATAGAAGCACCGCCATTCAGTGGACATTCCAAGGACTAAACGAGAGGTGGCACACGCAAACTTTCTTACGGCTTGCGCTTCGGGTTTACTTCCCACCTTCAACCACCTTGAGTTCATGGTATATACTAGTTCACTGTATTCATGGCACTGCGGCCCAATACTCGCTAAACCTTTCTAAAACCAAGGAGGTTACGCCCAGCGAGTATAACGTAGCAACCTTTTCTTGTCAGATAGTGCTCAATGTACATGCCAGTGGCTGCTAATGTGAAATGAGAGACAGGAGGATTCAGCTTTTAATTTCTTACGGCTTGCGCTTCGTATCTGCTTCCCCCCTTTAACCACCTCGAATTCATTCGTGGTATATACTAGTTCATTGTATTCATGGCCCTGCGGCTCAACGCTCGCTAAACCTTTCTAAAACTAAGGAGGTTACATTCAGCGAGTATAATGTAGCAACCCTTTCTTGTCCGATAGTGCTCAATGTACATGCCAATGGCTGCTAATGGGGATCGCAGCGTGCGCGTTGACTAAAAGCCGAATGCTCCTGTCTCTCATTCCCTATTAGCAGCGATTGGCATGCACATTGAGCACTATCTTTATTGTTAAACAACGCACAGAAGAAATCTCTCACCGGCACCACCTTGGAGGTCAAATGTTATACCTGTTTCGGGTATGTGCCACTAGTGGTTACTTACTACGAGGGACGCACAAGCCACGCCATAAGGAGCTTCGCCCCTAAATTGTCTAAGCTCTACTACAAAAATTTGCGTGTTCGGTGTATGTGAACCTCTCCCACGGGGTGGCAGGAGAAAAAAAACAGACAAACAAGTAAATGCTTGGTGACTGACCCCCGAAAAAGCCATACAATGTAATAAGTACTATAAGATTTATACTACAGCTTTATTAATTATTAAAAGCAAGCTTGAAACATGCGAAAACACTTATCTGCGCCATCGATCAGGAGCGTTCGAAAAACACGTCCATCCGCCATGCCAGTCCGAACTGAACCTAACCTAACCTAACCTACCCTAGTGGATGGATGAATGAATGGATGGATGGATGGATGAATGTATCCGGCTGTGCTCTTAAAATCGAGCGGTGGCTCACGCCACCTAGCCATAAAGTTAATTACTATCACTGTGTGTTTAAAGATTGAATTTCACTCGCGCCTCGATTGTGGCCACCAGTCAGTTAGCCTCCTCTTGGTTATTTCTACCCGTTTAAAGTCTACTTTGCCTTCACTGTCCCTAAACACTAATGTTATAACAAATTCGGCGCCATCATCTTCGACTATAGCTTGGAGCTTTTTACAAAACATTATCAACTGTTCAGCAGTTTTCTCCTCATCTTCACATGCACTTCTGGACGGACGGACGGACGGACGGACGGACGGATGGATGGATGGATGGATGGATGGATGGATGGATGGATGGATGGATGGATGGATGGATGAATGGATGGATGGATGGATGGATGGATGCCTAGTGCCACATCTCCACCACGGCAATTGTCACGACCCGCGACTGGTATACACTTTTCGGGGACACTGCACGCACCTGAGCATCGCGCAAATCCCACTTGAACCACAGCGTTCGCAAACTGTGCAAGTGAAACTGAATGCGTTTTCATTCAATCTTTATTGAACTAACGGTCTGCTGCAGCGAAGAAGCGTGGTGTGTAGGTCGGCGACCGTTCTGTGGAAACGCACTTTGCATGCAGTGTCGAGTTGGCGAGCAGCGTCCTGTTGATAGGTCTCATCAAAGAAGATACGAGAATTTCCGTCCTGCGCCGATGTTTGTATGGCAGCTAGTTGGGTCACGATGCCCTCAGTTTCACAAACACGAGAAACAGAGTTCTCAGCTTGTGCCATGAATGCGCGGAGGCCTCCGCTATCCCCTGACATGTCCATCGCTGCACTGAACTCACTTGTGTTGTGCGACATTCACCCAAAATATAGCGGCGCTTAATGCAACAGTTCGCGTAGCCGGTGCATCTGCACTTGTATCAGTATTCAGTCATTCCAGCGACGCAAGCGGCACCATGATGCCATGCTAGAGTGTACTAGAAGCTTTTTAGTGGCGCGAGCGGCTGCCTGGGAGTGGCCGTTTCGGCCTGGAATGATGCGGTGGCGCTGGCGTCGATTAATCTTCCCGGGCGGATGGCTGACAGGCGTTCCGCGTACGTGTTGGTACCTCTCTGTCGCGCCAAGTGTGAAGATGATCTCCCTCTTTTTTTTCTGATTCACATACCTCCCCTTTTCCGCTCAAATAAAGGTTATTTGACATTATTGTTATTGAAGTTGCTGCTGACCGCACTGCAGCCCGAAGCAGCATAGCACATTGTACAATATAACGAGCGCGTTTTTTTTTTTCATTTTTAAAGTGTACATATTTTATACGAGAAACCAGCTGGCTGGTACACACCAGAAGCGCCCCCCCCCCCAAAAAAAAAAAAGAAAAGGAATATGCTGCACACAAAACGAAGAACTCTTGGTCGATTCCACGTAAAACACCAAAGCTGAACTCAAATAAAAGGCTCGTTGCTTATGGCTGCGTGCACACACGACAAAAAAGTAGGCTTTATTGATGTTATTTGAAGAACAGCAGAGTTTTTCCAAACCTCTTTTTGGTTTTGAAATATTGGAATAGATTCATTGTTGTAGGACCCACAGAAATGCAAATACGTAATACTGCAGAAGAATGTCTTAAGCGAAACATAGTAGTCGAAGATTTTGAGAGTTTAAAAAACGCAACAATACTGCAAAGCAAAGTCATAACTGTTAGTTAGGAGGCGGCCACGCCGCTCCAGCAGTAAACGTGACAGTCGGACCATGCCAACAGAAAAGAACGGGCCGTTTTATTCACACTCGTGAATATATATAGGAAAGTAAGGGGGAGAGGGAAGGGGGATAAGATTGTGCACATGCGCACTTGAGAGCTTGGGTCGCGTCGTTCAATGGGTTACAGCATTTCTTCCCCCTTAGTAGCCAAAACGCACGACCGGTTTCTTGGCTCGTGTGGAGCGACGTAGTACGTATGGTTGCGATTCTGGGGTATTCTGAGAGGTAGCCGGCGTCGTTGTTTCTAGTCGTACCGGCCCTGGGGAAACCGGTGTAGATGGCCTCGACATGTCGTCGGCTGCTGGCGTTTCATCTGGGCTCCGCTTGCGAACTTGATCCACGTGGCGGCGGACAAGGCCATCCACAGTCTTTACCTCCAGGAGGCGAGTGCCACGCGTAGCCTCCACTGTGCCTGGGAACCACTTGTCTCCAGCGCCGTAATTTCGCACGTACACGTAGTCTCCCGGTGCGAAGTTCCAGCCTGGGTCACTCGCAGCTTTGGCAGGATAGACTCTGGAAGGAAAAGACATCTCCATTCTTGTGCGCAGACGGTATCCTAATAGCCTCTCTGAGGGAGAAGGACCCTCCTGGTGTGGTGCGTTCCGATAATTGCACAATACACGTGCCAGTGAGGTGAGGAGGCAAGTGCCGCCTATCTTCTTCAAGCCATCTTTGATAGTGCGCACGGCTCGCTCTGCTAGTCCATTACTCTGGGGGTGATAGGGAGGTGTTCGAATATGCGCAATGCCATTGCGCTCCATGAACTGCTCGAACTCTCGTGCCGTGAATGGCGTCCCGTTGTCAGAAACCACCGTGCGCGGTATACCAAAACGGCTAAATATCGTTCTGAGGGCCTCGACTGTGCTATGCGAGTTGGCCTGCGACACGGGAAGCGCCTCAATCCACTTGGTGTGCGCGTCGACAACGATGAGTAACATTTTCCCTTTTACTGGTCCCGCATAGTCCACATGTAACCGCGACCACCTTTCGTGCGTCTCGGGCCAATTTACTGGTTCTTTTGCCTGAGCCATCGGCAACGCTTGCACACAGTTTTGGCATGTCGCCGCAACGCGCTCGATGTCTTGCTCTACGCCGGGCCACCAAAATAACGATCTGGCCTTCGCCTTCATGGTGGAAATTCCTTGGTGGGCTTCATGCAGTGCAGTAGCCTTAGCAACTTCCCGCGTGCTGCTGTCGGCACTACAAAGCGATGGCCCCAGTAAAGAAGTTCTTCACTAACAGACAGCTCATGCCGCCTTTTGTAAAAATCGGCGATTTCTGTAGCTTCCGTGTCGAGTTTTTTCGGCCAACCTTCCCGGGTATACTTGCGTACCTGGAAAAGTACCTCATCCGCGACGGCGAGTGCCTGGAGTTCCTTCCATGGCAGGGCCGGCTGATCCCACTGGTCCAGGGTCAGAACTTGAGCTTCGTCCTCCTGGTCCACTTCTTCCTGCAACGGTTGGGGTAGACGGCTAAGAGCATCAGCATTGCACATGAGTTTACCCGGTCGATGTTGCAACCGATAACGGTAGGCACCAAGTATGATGGCCCAACGCTGAATGCGCGCAGCGGCCATAGCCGGCGTCTGACGATCCGCTCTTAGGAGACCCAACAGTGGTTGATGGTCGGTTAGAAGCGTGAACTGTCTGCCCAGCAGATAATCTCGGAATCGCGTGACGCCATAAACCAGAGCCAACGCCTCACGTTCAATCTGTGCATAATTCTTTTCTGCGGCAGTAAGCGTCCTGGATCGAAATCCAAGGGGCTGATACTGTCCTTCAATTCGGTGGAATAGTGCCGCTCCCACACCGTAGGGTGACGCGTCGCACTCCAGAAATAGCTCTCGTGCGGGATCGAAGTGAGTTAACACAGGCGCGGAACACAAAACGGCTTTTGCTTTTCGGAAGGCATCGTTTTCGCGCTCATCCCAAGACCATTTCGATTTCTTTTCCAGAAGAAGGTATAGGGGACTCAGGAGCGTGGACAGATTAGGCAAGAATTTATTGTAGAAAGTTAGCATGCCCAAAAAAGACCGCAATTCCGTGACATTGTGAGGAGTCGGTGCCAGCTTAATTGCTTCGATGTTCTTGTCTGACGGGTGCAACCCTGCCGCGTCAATTCTGTGTCCTAGATACGTAACTGACTCCTCACCTATTCGGCACTTGTCCGCGCGGAGCTTCACGCCGTACTCCCTGAACCGCTGCAAGACTGCTTGCAGGTTCGCAGTTGGCTTATCGTTCGCATCTGCTATCAGGACGTCGTCTAAGTACGCTTGAACCCCTGGGAGGCCTTGCAGCACCTGCTCAATTGTTCGTTGAAAAATCGCAGGGGCCGAGGCTATCCCAAACGGTAGCCTGTTATAACAAAAAAGGCCCTTGTGAGTGTTTATAACCGCTAACTTGCGCGAATCTTCATCTAGAAGAATTTGGTTGTAGGCATCACGTAGATCCAAGATACTGAACTGCTGCCCTCCACGAAGCGTAGCGAAAATGTCGTCCACTACGGGTAGAGGATAACTTTCCATTTCACATACTGGGTTTAGAGTAACTTTGAAATCGCCACAGATGCGGACTGTTCCGTCACGTTTCAGCACTGGCACCACCGGGGTTGCCCATTCTGAATAGGAAACTGGCGTAATAATGCCTTCGGCCACAAGTCGATCTAGCTCGGCGGACACTTTGTCTAGCAAAGAAAATGGAATTTTTCTTGCCTTACCGAACCTTGGGGTTGCTCCGTCCTTTATATGAAGCCGTGCTGGTGGTCCCTTGATGGCTCCCAGGCCCTCCGCAAAAAGGTCTGCGTACTGTTCCAGCACGGGTGCCGCTGTCCGACTCTCCAGCTTCCCGTCCGATGAGAGTGACGCGATGTGAAGAAGCGGTGCCCCTTGTGTCTCGAGCATCTGTAACAGGTCACGGCCGCAAAGGCTAGGACCTTCGCAGTCTAACACAACGAGATCGCAGTCAACTGTTGCAGACTTGTAGGAAGCTTGCATTTTGACAATGCCCCGCACTGGTATCTTCCCAAGATAGCATGACAGAGTTAATGCGGCTTTACAAAGCGGTGGCCACTTATGACGATAGGCTTCGTATATCGCTTTAGGCACTACGCAGACAGGTGAACCTGTGTCGATTATCATATTCAGTGGCACTCCGTTCCATGTAACCTGCTTGTGTAGGGGCGGAACCAGGCTTCCATTACCCTTCACTGACCATATTTGTAGTGCGTTACAATCGTTATCTTCACTTTCCGCTGAACACTCTGTTATCGCGAAGGTTCTGTTGGTGGTGGCTGTCCGGGAGCATACTCGCGCCAAGTGACCTTGTCGCCCACATTTGTAGCACCTGCGCCGTCGTAATGAGCATTCCCTGGCTTGATGTCCCTGTTTGCCACAGCAGCTGCAGTGCTGCGATAAGCTGCTCCGTTCGCTCCTGCTGATTTCGGGTTGCCTGCTACGCTGCACGTTGAACACCCCAACGGCGTCACCTTGCCCGGTCATCTGTTGCGACCCTAACTCCGCGCTTTCGGCTGCTAGAGCTAGTGCTTCCGCTTCTGCCAGCGTCAAGTCCTTTTTGGCTAATAGTTGTTTCTGCAGGTTTTTCGAGCGCACTCCACAAACGATGCGGTCCCTCAGCATTCGCTCCAACATTGAAGAGAAGTTGCAGTTATGCGCTAGCTTGCGAATCTCGACGATAAACGCCTGCACGGACTCCCCTTCTTGTTGGTTTCGGTGAAAGAACTTGAAGCTTTCTGATATCTCGTTAGGGGACGGATCATAGTGCTCGTTCAAGGTTGAAACAACTTCTTCGTAACTCAGCGAGCTTGGTTTTCGCGGTGCGATTCTGCCGCAAAGGATTTCAACGGTCCTCGATCCTAACGCAGCCACCAACAAGGCCCTTTCTTCGCGTCGTCCGTAACTTCGTTCGCTTCGAAGTAGGCGTCAATCTTAACGAGATACGCTTGCCACTTATCTGTCTCCTCTGCAAAATCCGGAAGCTTGAGGGCCATGGCTGCGGGCGGGCTGATGGGCGTCTTCGTCTTGGTCTCGCCGCTGGCGCCCGGCTTACACGTATCGGTGGGTATTCTCGTCGCCACTGTTAGTTGGGAGGCGGCCACGCCGCTCCAGCAGTAAACGTGACAGTCGGACCATGCCAACAGAAAAGAACGGGCCGTTTTATTCACACTCGTGAATATATATAGGAAAGTAAGGGGGAGAGGAAAGGGGGATAAGATTGTGCACATGCGCACTTGAGAGCTTGGGTCGCGTCGTTCAATGGGTTACAGCAATAACTAATGATAATCTTAATTGATAATATAAAAATGCAAGGTTTACATATTTAAAAAACAATACATTTCGACTTAGGTAAATTGTAAAAACCGTAAAATATAGAGCCAGGATACAAAAGATAACATAAAACAAAGCAAACAAAACGACAGAGTTTAGGTTGTCTTTCCAAAATGCATTTAAATAAAAAAAGGATGTTATGGTCGAAACATCGTTTGAAGGAACACTGAAGTGTAACAATGAATTGGCTTAGATTGATTAATTATGCACCGAGATCCCTAATGCTGCCAAATTTACCATCACAGGTTTAATACAAAAAGATTCAAGATCAAAGATTTATTTTGAGATTTCGCGTCATTATTTGCACGTTCTCTCGCTTACAAGCCTCTTCTAGGAAAAATTGTTTTTCTTCTTGGTGTACCGTCCAAAAATTAAGAGTGTAAGAAAATATGCACGAAAAATGACATCCTTTTTACGCCACTGTAGCAATTTATAGCCTACTCAACTTTAGGTGCTGCTGTGAGCTTCGTTTCTCATCCCGCGACTTGTTCAAACCCTTAACATAAAAATGCATACGTGTGACCACATAAAAGCTGATCAGCTTAGCAGTTAATGGCTTGCAATGTTCGTTGCAGCCAATACCCCCAATGCTTCTCCTGTTGATTACTGCCAAGACATCCAAGATGCTGTCTTTGTGCAAGTCACTTTTACTAAAACAACCAGTGAAAATGTCCTCAAGTTCACTAATAAAAACAAAAAGTTTCACTGAAGGGTACAGAAGGCCACCGAAATCGCAAGATTGTGTGAAAGCAGCAGCATACAGGGACTAGCCATCTGATGCAGGCAGCAGAAGCTCATTCATGCATGCACTGCACTTTGTTTGGAGCACACATTTCCTAGCAACATAGCCTGCCACATAGTACGTAAGTCTCGAGTCGCTATGCTGGCTGACGTATGGGTGATCTGGTGCAGTCGAAGAGCTGCCATGAAGCGAACCTTCAGCACCTTCCAAGTCTCCTTCATCAAGCAACAAGTCAATCAGTTGCTGCTGCTTTTACGCATTAGCAGGCTTGTCTGTGACAGTCAAAAGCGAGCTTACAACCCCCTCTGGAACGTTTGATCCAGGAACACTTTTGGCAAGATTATAATAGCTTAGACAATTAATAGTCGTGAGAAATTGTTGCGAAGTGGGATGAGCATTGCATCCAGATGAGAGCCTGAAAATACCGAAGAGGTTTTCAATTTTATCTTGGCTTAAGCGGCTTGTCATCAGGTATGCATAGCCAAGCTCTTCATGTAAGTAGCTTAGAAGAACCAAGGTACTCCTAATAGTGACCCTCAGTCCTTCTGTCGTAGATTCACTCAGGAAGTTCTTTTTATCAGCAGTCTGTTCCCATCTTGTGAGGAATTCCAAGAATTCTTCGATGTCTCGTACTGTCTGAGAGTTGGGCCTCAACGCTTCCGCCGGATAACGCGTTGTCATAGTTGTGATGAGAGACTTCATCCTCCTGCAGATGCATGAGTAAGGAGGTTACTCTAACCGCTAAACAGTTACACAGCAAAATTGTCTAATGTGTGGTCTTGGTGCAGTCTCTGAATTATAAACGTCATAATGCTCAAGACTTGTCCAAAATATAAAAAAACCCTCCACAATACTCAGTAATAGGTGAACTGGAAGTATTGTTGGAATTATGAATTATAGTCACTACATTACACACTGCATCATATTATGTGTATTTCACTTTAAAT